ATATATATATATATATATATATATATATATATATATATATATATATATATATACGTATACAAGTATGCAAGTGTATAGGTAAATAAGTAAAAAGTAAAAAATATATAAGTAAATAGATAAATAAGTAAAAAATAAAAAATATGTAAGTAAATAAATAAGCAAAAAATAAGAAATATATAAGTAAATAAGTAAATTTGTAATAATTATGTATAAACAAGTTAATTTATAATTAATTAGTAATTATGTATATAAGTAAATAAGTAAATTTGTAATAATTATATATATAAACAAATTAATGTATAATTGATTAATAATTATGCATATAAGTAAATAAGTAAATTTACAATAATTATGTATATAAACAAATTAATGTATAATTAATTAATAATTATGCATATAATTAATTAAGTAAATAAATGTATATATGGAATAAAGGTACATATAACGCATGCACACATATACACACACACACACACACACACACACATATACACACACACACACACACACACAGACACGAACAGACTGACGGATATTTTACATCTCAACGATAGTGTAATTAATTAATGATAGCTTAAAGTAGTTTGGGTTAGTGTTAGCTATTCTTTTTTTTATTCTTCAACAGGTAGGGTTAGTTTGAAGGTGATTATAAATATTGCTGTTTGCTGTGATGAAGAAAAGGCGTAAGCAGTTGTTTTATTTCACTTTTGTTGTTTAAATACTTTTGTTTTTTCTTTTCTTCGTCTTTTTTTCTTTCTTCTTTTTCCTTTCTTCTTTTACGCCATAATATCATTTGAAAATATTTAATTTTGTAATTTTTTTATAAAATTAAAATTAAAATTTTCGGATAGAAATTTTAATTATTCGATTAATTAAACTGGAAATTCAATGTTTTTTTTTTTTAAAATCTTATTTTAAATATTTCATGTTGAATATATTTGATGCATTTAAAGTTATTAAAGTTATGATGATTTTAGTTTTTTTTTTATAAACTTGAAATAGCTGATTTCATTGTTTTCTTTATCAATGAAGTATTGTTTTTTTTTTTTTTGAAAAATTGAATTTGGCTAAATGATTGAAGTTGACAAGGTGGAAGAATGTCATCAGTGGATAATTCAATTTTCTCCTATGTCAATTTGATGCAATTTAAATGTTCCTTAATCGTTTAATAGTTGCATAAAGTATGGAAAGGATGAGGAAATCTGTTTATTGAGAATTGTGACAAAGTTCCTTTTTTTTTAACATTTGTTCAAGTTTTATTAACTTTTATCAAATTTTTGAATTAAAATACATAAATGATCATTTTTTGTAAATAAAACGAAGTTAAAATTCGATACAGGGAATTAAATTGTGATTAATAGATTTAGAATTCATTAATAGGAAATAAATTAGAATTGGTAGGTTTAGAATTCATTAATGGGAAATAAATTTAAAAAAATTATAAGTTTGGAATTTATTACAGGAAATAAATTGGAATGAATAGATTTAATTTCATATTGTTTCATCATCTATCAATTCATATGTTACAAGGACTAACCAATTATTGGCCGAGAATATTTTTTTCAACAGATGCTGGTATATATATATATATATATACTGTAATATTAGGCAAATAAGATATATAGCATTTATTGCTAACCTTTAACCTTTACTCTATTCATTGATTAATTTGAAATTGAATTTATTCGTTGAAATTGCTAAAGTATTAGATAAAATTTTACTGCATATTAGAAATTATATAATTAATTTAATTAGCAATTTTTCCTTCCTCTTTGCTTCTTTCTTTTTTCTTCACTTTTTTATAATGATAATTAAAAGTTAAAGTTGCCGAATTTTTTTTTTTTTTTTTATTTATTTTGAAATAAAAATGACACGTGGATGTTGACATGATGATGATCTTTTGAGCAATCATAGCTTTGGGTAAATTAACACTGAAAAAAAAAAAAAAAAAAAGAAGAAAGAATGATGAAATGAGAGGGTGGTGGGAGGATGGATGGATTGGAATAGAAGTTAAACAATTCGAAGAATAAATTAATAGCAGTTGTTTGCTTCTTCATTACTTCCAATCTACTTTTCATTTAGCATTTCATTTCAGTTGAATGTTATTTAGAATGTTAAAGAATGAAAGAGAGGAAAAAAGGAGGAGAAGGAGGAAGAGGAGGAGGAGGAGGAAGAGGAAATGGAAGAAAAGTTTCGAGAAAACGAAGAATGTGTAAATATGAAATTGGATTTCTTTTTATTTTTCCTTTTTTTCTTATTTCTTTTCAAGTAAATTAAGTAATTGGAATTTTTTTTTTTTGTATAAATTTAAAGAAAGGGTTAGAATTGAAATTGGTAATTAGTTGAAAAAGTTAACTTCATCGAATTTTTTTTTTTTTTTGGAAAGAAAAAAACAAACGAAGGTAAAAATAATAAAATTTTAGGAATGGAATTTATTATTTGTTTACTTGATTATTGCATTCGATTTCCTTATGAGGTTGTTTGATTTATTATAAAATTAATTAAAATTATTCTTTTTGATATGATCATTTGATTTATTATAAAATTAATTGAAATTCTTCCGTAAAACATCATTTAATAAGTTGTAAAATTAATTAAAATTATTTTCCTCAAAATGATTATTTGATTTATTGTAAAAATTA